TAAGAATTGAATGATTTTATTTTATATTTTTAATTATAATAAATTAATTTAGTGATAAATGCACATGGCTAGACCCTAAATACATTATGTTAAGCAAAGGAAGCCAGTCACAAAGGACCACATGTTATATGATTTCATTATATAAAATGTCTACAGGGACAGAAAGTGGATTAATGGTTGCCTAGGGCTGAGGGAATGGTAGATTTGTGGGGAGTGAAGGGTAAGGGGTGTGGGGTTTCTTTTTGGGATAATAAAAATATTTTAAAAGTGATTGTCATGATGGTTGCACAACTTTGTGAATATATTAAAAGTCAATAAACTGCATATCTATTTAATGATAAATTGTATAATATGTGGCCCTGGCCAGTGTGGCTCACTGGTTAGAGCATCAGCTCATGTGCCAAAGGGTCATGGGTTTGATTCAGTGGCATGAACCCGGGTTGCAGGTTTGATTCCTAGCCCCAGTTGGGGTGTGAGAGGGAGACAACCAATCAGTGTGTTTCTCACATCAATGTTTCTCTCCTGCACCTTCCACTCTCTCTAGAAATTCAATGGAAAAAATATCCTCTGGTGAGGATTAAAAAAATAATAGTAAATAAATTAAATTAATGTGTAGTATGTGGATTATATTTCAATAGAACTGTTTCTTTAAAAAAAAAAGACGGTCTGGGGAGAATCTGAAGGTGGGGAGGCTACTGTGATGGTCCAGATAAGAGACCCGAACTGGAGGGAAGAATGAGAACGGAAGTCTAGAGGAGGGGACAGATGCTGGTCCTGGGGTAATAGAAGGTGAGCCACTGCGTACTAGGGAGAGGAAAATTTTAAAATCCTTCTCTGGCAGCATTTTAAAGGTCAAAAAAGTACAAGAAGCTTCCTGGAGACTGCTTCAAAAAAAGTCTTGTTGGAAACACAAGAAAATGTCAAGGATACACACACACACACACACACACACACACACAGAGCAATGCATTTAAAATAATTCACGACATGGCAAACGGCAGCGCTGGAAGGGGACTGGGGAAAGGGGAAGGTAGTGCATTATGAAGAAAAGACGGCCCTGGAGAAGAAAACAGAAAGATTGCCAACTGAGGGGCGTGTCCATGAATTCATTCACCAAAGTCTGATTGAGCATCTGCCATGACCCATGCTCCGGGACACCCAGAGGGAAGACGGCCATGAGCAGAGGAAGGTAGAGACTGGCATCAATGCTGCCAACCCACAGTCCACACCTGGGGTTATCAGAGGTTGGAACTGGCAAGGAAGGATCCTCCCCTCGAGCTGTCAGGAGGGACGTGACGGGCCCCTTCATTCTGGACTTCCAGCCTCCGGGCTGGGAGATACACCCGGTCTGCGCTGCTTTGCTAGCACACGCACGGGAAACCAGCGAGGTGCTTATGGCAGAGGTTGAACAAGAGAAGCAGGTCCTTGGACAGGGAGGTGTGAGAGAGGAACTGATTCCTGACATTTTGAAAGCAGAGCCGAGAGGAATGTGCTGATACATCGGGTTGAAAAGAGAGGAATTAGTTGGTCAGAAACACACTTGAGGAGCACTTTCCAACGACCTCCAAGGCCAGTGAGTGTTTCAGTTCTGGACCTCAAAGGGAACAGATCGATCAATGGAATTTCGTGATGGTTATAGGGGCTGGGGAACAGACCCAAGAATGAACAAGGTGGGGCAGTCGAGGTCACAGAGCTTTGCCTCTGTTTCTGTGAAACACTCTAAGAAACTGGTCACTAGGCAGCATTTAGACCAAATGGACACAGTAGTCTTGGCTACACCACTGAGCCTTGAGCCCCAGGAGTTCCACTGGAAAGCATGGGTCAGGGAGTGAGTGAGGGTGTGAGAACTCCTGGGCGTGCAGGGTGACAGAGCCTGAGGGTCGCCTGCTCAGGCGCCGGGGCAACCTGCCACATTTTACTCACCAGAAGGCCACCCTGGCCACAATGGGGATGTTTAATGCAAAGGACCTCTGGGCAGATCCTGCTTCTCTGTAGCAGCCAAACACATGTAAGGCCAACACCATGCACTCAGACTCGGTGATTTTCCCCATGAGGCCTGAGAGATGAATAGATTTTTGGTACGTTCAGTGATGGCGGTAGTGGCTGGGTGTGGAGAGGTTCCTGGGAGGACCAGGCAGCACCTATCAATTGTTGGGTACTTTCTAAACATCAACATTATGAGACCCATTTTACAAACAGGTCTAATTTATCCCACGGCAGGGTGGTGGGTGGGAGAGATTTGCACAAGGAATGAGGCCCCAACAAGAAGGGTAGTATTGCCCCCATTTAACAGATGAGGAAACTGAGGCTCACAGACATTGAGGAATGTGTCCAAGACTGCACAGTGGCAGCATTGCATTTCAAACTCAGGGCTATTTGCCTGAAAGTCTTGGATCCTCCCATTATCTTGTGTGATGTGACCTTTCTTGCTACTCAGCACAGTCCGTGGAGCAGCAGCAGCAGCATCACCTGGGAGCGTGTCCATAATGCAGACTCTCAGGCCCCAACTTGACCTACTGAGCCAGAACCTGCATTTTAACATGACCCCAGGTGAGTGAATTTCACATTAGAGTATGAGAAGCACCACTCTACCTTTAAAAGGCTTTTGATAAGTGTCCACTCAAAAGTCCACTCAAGAGTCCAACTGCCTCACTTTACAGATGAGGAAACTGAGGGTCAGAGAGGATGAGTAAGTTGTCCTGTGTTCCTAACTCAATGCTTCTAACAACAGTGTGGACCACAGAGGACCCTGGTCAACATGCTGCTATGGCCAGAAAAGGCCGTCACACGATGGGAGCAGTGAGCCAAGAACAACACTAAAATTAAAGAGAAAGCATTGTCCCACCTGTTACACAAGGACAACAGAGGGGCAGCTGCAGCATCCCAGTCCCTCGCCCAGACCTGGTCTAGGCTCCCTTGTAAGAGTTACACTGACTCCTCCCCATGGCAGTGGTGAGCCCCTCGAGGGCATGGATGTTCTCACTCCTTTCCTTCCATCCATGTTTGAGGACATCACTGATGCTAGCGGGTGGGCGGTTTGCAGAAGGAATGAGGCTCCCACAAGAAGTGTTGAACTGAAAGCAAAGCCTGTGTATGTGCCTGGGGCAGCTCCCCAGTCTTCACTCTCCCATTCACCTTCCTTCAATATTTATTACAAAGTATCAAACTGCTTCAGCAACCTTTGGACTTTTCCAAATTCTTTGACAGGAGTGCTAGTAAGTGTGCCAGTACTTTACTTTCTTGCATTGACCCCGTTTTCTCTTCAATACCATTATTACTGCTGAAACTGCCAGGGCACTTTGGCTCAGAGCTCTAATGGATATTGGGCAGCTGAGCCCTATAGGATCAGCAAAAATTCTCCCTGGACACAGCTGGATGCCAGTGCCCAGCCCTCTCCATCCCTTGACCCCAGACTCTGCTTTCACCTGCTGCTGGCACCTACCAGCTGCCTCCTTGCAAACTCGGCCCACCTCCAGACAACAAACAGCATGACCAGCAGACAGTGAACTACCCAGTGAGCTTCCATCCTGGTGAGGTCTCTGCGGAGTGAAGGCCAGACCGAGATGACCAAGTTGATGACGAAGCCAAGAAGACCAAAAGGCCTGCAGACCCACAAGCCCAGCCACCCTCTTCTCTGCTTGAGTCAAGAATGTCCTCAAGCTCTACCTCCAGCTGCAGGCATGCGACAGCCAGCCCATCCATGCCCTTGCAGAGGAGGGAGCCATGATGAGGGGCCTTAGCTCTCTGCTTGTGTGTCCAGCCCCATTCCTTATTGCTGCTCTTGTTGGCTGTCTCTAGAATGCTCTAGGTTCTGATTCCAGCTGCCAGCTGGAACCCTTGATTTTTTCTGTTGCCTCCTTCCCGATCTCAGATTCTGGAGTCAGTTCCTTGGACTTACAGAGCTTCTACATCGTTGTCTAACTTTCTGGGCTTTCCTACAGCAACCCCTATTAGTCAGGCCATCAGGAGTCCACCCTGACCGACTAACTGCCCATGACCAAGCCCAATGGCTATAATCCATCCTTGTTCAACTTCTTGGCCAGTGACTGAGACATAAGAGGCTGCCGTGCATCCCCAGACACACGCATACTCACATCATACTAGCAATCATTCTTTGGGGGACCGAAAGGAAAAAACAAATACATGGTCGTTCAGCTCGAGGAGTTAAGAAAATAGACACACCTTGAAAAACTTGACCATGTGTACAAACTGACACCACAGCCCCAGCTGTCGCACCTCTGTCCACTCATTTTTGACCCAACCCAGGAAACTTGACTCAGCTGCAGGGAATCAGCAAACCTCTTTGCACTTGACTCTAAGACAGATACACAGAGATGGTCCATGACCTCTAGGGATTTGAGACCTAAACTAGAGAGATTAATAAAGGCCAGTTGGATAAAAACCATTAGACCAAGGATGAGCGGCTGAGGTCTGACGCAGACAGGTCAGCGGGTATGTGGGGGGACAACGGGAACCAGTCTCTGAGTCATCGACAAGTGAGGCCGTGGAGCTCCACATGCAAGATGACGTGGGCGAAGGAAAGCTACTAGCTCCTCCCGACCACAAACTCAACACGCTACCCCTCCCCCCCCAATCCGGGCAAACTTCACAGCATGAGCGGGAATTTCAGCAATTGCTCACTTGCTGGGAGACAGACTGGCTGAGGAGGAGCAGTGGAAAGGAGAATTCAGGACATGGGCCTGTCATGACGAGGCGCGGAGGGAAGTGGGAAGGGAGACAAATGAACTAGGAGAGCCTCGCCAAGTAAGAAATGATGGGCTCAGGAGCAGGGCCAGGAGAAAGTGCATTAAGATGAGAGTATTGAATAGAATCCATAAGTCATGAGCAAGACACAGCCAAAACAGTGGTCAGAGAAGCATGATGGTTAAAAGATATGAGATGAATTAAAGACACCGCCTGAGTGACAGTCTTGGCTTTATACGCTTGGCTGTGTGACCTGGGACACGTTCATTCACCTCTCCACGCCTTATTCTCCTCACCTGTGCGTTAGGAATGCTCACACATGCTTTCACCCCTGCCTCTGTCTTCAGCTCCAGCTGGTGTGGAAGGTGCTCTGGGGACTTACTCTCCTGCTAACATCTTCGCAGTTGAGGAACAGGCCAGGTGCTTCCCAGCCTGTAGGCCTCCATCTCTGTGGAAGTGCAGGGAAGGCAATGTCCCCCTCAGCAACCCTCGACCAAAGGCAGATGGGAGCCAGGGGGACAGTGGCCTTGCTGGGGACAATTAGCCTCCCTGGCTTGGGCAGAAGATCTGGGGTGGGGTAGGGAGTGTTCTGTGTGCTCCTGGTGATCCTGGGGCGTCAAGACTCTCTTGCCTATAGCAGCAACCTCTATAATGTTCTCTGGGGTGACTGTCCCCCCTCTTCCTCGCTGTCCCTGCCCTCTCCCTCCTGCTTCCTGGGACGACTTTCCTATGGACAGGCTCTCAGCCACATCCTTGTCTCAGACTCCGCATTCCAGAGCCCAAACTAAGACAAATACCTTTCTCATGAGGTGGCCGTAAGGAGAAAAGGAGAGAACCTATGTAAAGCTCTTGGAAGAGGAGGGGGAAAGACCTCAGTGACCGAGAGAAAAAAGCAGCACCTAACTTCCGTGATCTGGTCGGACCCAGGCTGGCCTCGGTGTCGTCAGAACCTCTTCTGATGCTCACAGCGAGGGCGTGTTGTTCTCCTGCTGGACAGAAACCGTCTCCGAACACCAGTGTCAGGACGTGAATGATCTCATGGGACACCAACGCTAGACGTTATCTCTCTGATGCTATGATAAAGTGAGACAAAAACAAGGTCACTGTACAAACAGCTCTCTCTGACTCTCTGCCTCCCTCCCTCCCCCCACCAAAATGATTGACTGCTGCTTCTTTCTGGTTGTAGCTTTCACCTCACTCTGATCTGCCCTCCCTGTAGATAAGATTATTGACTTCCCTGTACTTCCAATCATAGAATCGCCCCACCTCCTGACAGCAAAGCCCCACATCCTGGACCCTCCCTGAATAACCCAGCCAAAGCCTTCCTGTCTCAGGTTCTTTCTCACCCCTTCCTGTGACACCCCTGCCAGCAGAGGTACGTCTGGAGCATAGGAAGGAAAGAAAGGCCAGGAGGAGGTGAGACCAGGAGACAGGTCCTCTCTCACCCCAAACCAGTTAGCACCTGCTCAGCTCTTTGGCAAGCACATGCTGGCACCTTCTGTGCTGAGGACAGAGAGCTCAGGGTTAGTGCTGAGTGCAGACAAACCAACCCAGAGACACCGTCCCCATCCTGGAGGAGTTCGTGAGCTAATGGGGAAGAGGGCACACACTTGCAGGAAGTAGCAGAGGTCAGTGCAGGTAGTTAAGGGACACAGTTCCTGCCCCTTCAGGCCCTTCGCTCTCCTGTGTTTTACTAGGCTCAGGGGAGCCACAAAAGCCTTTGTAACCACATCAAACTTTCATGAAATATTTATTTACTTTATATTGATTTTTAAAAAGACACTCCACTCTACTAGCAGACATTTTGAAGAATCTCTTTTGGAAACGTATTCTGGACTTTTTATATGATATAAGACACCTCTGACCATCAAGCTTAACATCATCCGTGAGAAGTTGTGTTGATAGTGTGTACCCTTCATACGTCGTGATAAGAATGACACTTATTCCATGGTCTGCCTCCCAAAGACCCACAGTCCCGGTTTCATCATGAAAACAGCATCAAACAAGCCCAAGTAGAGGGACATTTTACAAAATACTTGCTCAATACTCCTCAAATGGTCAAGTCAACACAAACCAGTAAAATCGGAGAAACTGTCACTGCCAAGAGGAGTCTAAGAAAACCTGATGATCAAGTATCATGCAGTATCCTGGGTGGGATCCTGAGACAGAAAAATGACAGTAGATAAAAACTAAGGAAATCTAAATAAAGTATGAACTTTAGTTAATAATAATGTATCTAATCATCAGAGAGATGCAAACTAAAACACCTACGAGGTATCACCTCACACCTGTCAGAATGGCCACCATCAACAAATCATCAAACAACAAGTGTTGGCGAGGGTGTGGAGAAAAGGGGACTCTAGTACACTGCTGGTGGGAATGCAGACTGGTGCAGCCACTATGGAAAACAGTATGGAGTTTCCTTAAAAAATTAAAAATTGATCTGCCATTTGACCCAGTGATCCCACTTCTAGGAATATATCCTAAGAAGCCTGAAACACCAATCAGAAAGAATATATGTACCCCCATGTTCATAGCAGCACTATTTACAATAGCTAAGATCTGGAAGCAGCCCAAATGTCTATCAATAGATGAGTGGATAAAAAAGCAGTGGTTCATATACACAATGGAATACTATGCAGCTATAAAAAAGAAGGATCTCTTACCCTTTGAGATAACATGGAGGGACCTGAAGAGTATTATGCTAAGCAAAATAAGCCAGTCTGAAGAAGACAAGTCTCACATGATTTCACTTATATGTGGAATCTAGTGAATAAAATAAACTGATGAACAAAATAGATCTAGAGACATAGAAGCATTGAACATACTGACAAATCTCAGAAGAAAGGGGGGTGGAAAGAGATTAACCAAAGAACGTATATATGTATAACCCATGGACACAGACAATAGTGTGGTGAAAGCAGGGTGGGGGGAACAGGGGAGAGGGGTTCATGGGGGAAAAAGTGGGAGACATCTGTAACACTTTCAACAACAAAGAAAAATTTTAAATATATATATATATATAATAGTAATGTATCAAATACTGGTTCATTAAGTGACAATACACCATAGTAATATGTCACCAACAGGGGACACAGGAAGTCTCTGCACTGTCTTTGCAACTTTTCTATAAATCTAAAACCATTGTAAAATTTAAAGTTATTATAATAAAACCAAAAAAAGTCATACACTTTGAGTATTGCATGTCCTGTGTACTGTTTCCCTGAAGGTGAAGTCTGATCAGGTTAGCCCTTCCTACATATACTCACATTGGAGTATGTGTTATGTGTGTGTGTGTGTGCACACACATATGTTTAAAGGGGCTACATACTACACTTTGGCTTTTTTGGAAAAAGTCAGCCTAGCCATTGTAATGGTTTCACAAGTGTGTACATATGTCAAAATGTACCAAATTGTACACTTTGAATATGTTCAGTTTACTGCCTGTCCATTATACCTTACTAAAGCTTAAAAAAAAAAAAAAGTCCAATCTAAATTTTGATGCCAAAATAATTAAACTTGTTTTGACTTATGGCTTCAGAATATTTCTTTGAAGGAAAAATCAAACAAACAAACCTTAGCATCTCATGAATCCTTCTCATGAAAACTGAATTGGCCATGTAAGAGTATAAGCCTCAAACTCTGCATTATAGGTTTTGGCAAATCTCCATAATCTTTTTTTTTTTTTTTAATCCTCATCCATTATTTGAAAGAGAGAGGGAGAGATCAATTGGTTGCCTCCCACACCACCACTGGAGACTGAACCAGAAACTTTTGTATATGTCCTCCCCAAGAATCGAACCTGTGACTTTTCAATGCACAGGACAGCTGATGGTGAGTTTGGCCATGCATTCATCTATCCTCCAGGATCCATTCTTTGTACCCAACCACATAGTGTCTCTAGTGTGAGATTTTACTATTTATTTTCCCCTACTCTTTCTTATTGATTTATAATTTACATATATTCAATACATAGGTTTAATTGTAAAGCTGATGGTTTTTTTTTCTTTATTGTTTAGAGGGAGAGGAAGGGAGAGAGAGAGAGATGGAAATATTGATGAGAGAGAACATCGATTGGCTGCCTCCTACATGTCCCCCACTGGGGATCAGGCCCACAACTGGGCATGTGGCCTGAATGAGAATTGAACCAGTAACCTCTTGGTGCATGGGTTGACGCTCAACCACTGAGCCACACTGGCCGGACTATCGTTTTTTTTTTTAATGATTTTTTTAGAGAGCGAGACTGAAACGTACATGTGATAGAGAAACATCAATCAGCTGCCTCCTGCACACCCCCCCTGGAGATGGAGCCTGAAACCTGGCCATGAGCCCTGACTAGGAATCAAACCGGGACCTCTCAGTCCATGGGATGACAGTCCCTGAGCCACACCAGCTGGGCGGATTGTTTATCATTTTATCACTGATTTGTAGGGCTTCTTTCTATATTCTGGGTCCCCCTGTTAGACATATGTATTATAAATATTTTCTCTTAATCCATGGCTCGCCATTTTGTTTCCTTACACTTTGTTTTTAGTTTTATTTCTCTGTACCGCAGGCCGACACTCCAACCGCTGAGCCAAACCGGCCAGGGCGTTTTTAGTTTTATTTCTCACTTCATTTCTATACTCCCAGATCTTTCCTCAATTGCTAACCTAATCTCAAAGTAGAATATACTATTTATTGGGCACTTTGCTGAGAACTCTATGCCCGCCGACTTCCCCTGCTACCCATCACATTTCTGGGAGGCAAATAACACCCAACACCTTGAATCACGGGGGAAACTGAAGTTGAACAGCCTTCGAATATCACCAAGCCAGTAAGTAAGTGGCAGGGTGGCCTTAAGCAATGGTGTCACGCTGGCTACACTTTGGAGTTATTGGGTGGAGATGGATATTGATGCCCAAGCCCCGACCTCAGAGATTTTGATTGATTTGGTCTAGGAAGAAGCTCAGGCACTAGTATTTTTAAAATGCTTCCCAAGTGATTCTCCTTTTCAGAACCTCTGACTCAAAATGTGCTCTGTGCTTCCTGCTGCTGCTCAGAGCTTGACTCTGAAAAGGGCTCTGCCCACCAGTGCGGAAGGGGTTAAGTGACAGGCTGCCGTGGGGCCATCTCTCTGCTTCATTTACAAGTGCTGCAAAGAGAATGCATGCTGAGCTGAGGCCGTTTTTGCTGTGCAGACTGGAGATGATTTGGGTTTTAATGTAAGGAGCTCTTTAAAATCTGCTCTCCTCCACCCCCTCCTTCCCAGGAGGCAGCATGTGCAGACATCAGTGCACAAAACCAGGTCCAATTTGGAAAGCTGCAGCTGTCTGGGGAAGCATCCAAGGTGTCCTTGCAGACAGGCATTCACAACTTGGAAATGACGATTGCATAGGGGTTTCAGTGATGCATGCAAATCGACAATTTTCAACTTGCTGTCATTTGATGGGGCTCCCCCACCTCTCCAAGGAAGGCTTCTACCTAGTGGGGGAAGGGCTCTGCTTTTCTTCTCAGTAGTTCACAGCTGCTGCTGGGATTCCTGAAAAGCCAACATCTTTATCAACTGGGAAAGGAGAGAGAACCAGGGAGAAACAGGTTTCTCTAAAATAAGACCATTCTTGATTTTTCTCCCTGTGATATTTATAGCTCATAGCAATGAGCCCGGAAAATCCTTATTTGTTCTGGAATCAGAACCCTGGAGTTGACAGTAAGGGAGAGGAGAAATGTAGTGTAACTCTTCTGTGGAGTTTTGAACATTGTCATCATAATTGGGTGTCAAAAACACCATAGTGTGAAACCATACTGAGTATTTGTTCCTGGCCAATAAGCTTTCGCAGAGAGAACATCCGAGACTTGCTGAGGGGAAACAACATGACCCGCATCAGGACAGACTCTCCCAGGAAACTCATGTGCCACCCTTTGCGAAACAAGGATACCTGGGTTTGGGGAGTGGACACTAGGGTCACGGCCACCTCAGGGGGTGGCTGGTGCCTGAAGTCCCACATGCAGAGCAGTGGTTTTCAAAGTGTGGTCCCAGGGACAACAGCAGTGTCATTCAACGGTCCCGAGC